AATCCCCAGCTCCTAAGAATAGATATATTGATCAAGTGAACAGGATAAAGCTGAGAAACAGACCTACTTACAAAAGATAAATTTATTCTTGACAAAGGTGTCAAAGTAACTCAGCATGTAAAGAATGGAGTTTTTTTCAAGTAGTACTGGAGCATTTGGATATCCATATGTAACACTGTGATCCTTAAATCATCTTATAAGATATGTAAAAATTAAATGACATGGATTATAGACTTGACAGTAAAAATTTAAAAAACCATGAGAATTCTAAAAATACGAGAACAAAAGTATTTTTCACACTGGGGTTAGGCAAAGATTTCTGAGGTAAGGCATAAACAAAACAAAACTGAACCTTTGAACTTTTGAAAGCAAAGCTAATCTTTAGAAAATGAATGGATAGGACTTTTTCCAAAATTTAAAGCTTCTGGCCTTTGAAAGATATTTTTAAGAAAAGATAAACTACATGCCAGCAAAAATATTTCTAAAATATATATTGGATCAATGAATGACCTGTATCCAGATTATATATAAATTCTTATCTCTCAGTTAGACAACCCGATTAAAAGTATGAAAGGATATCTGAACAGATACTTCACAAAAGGTACCAAAATGGCTAACAGGCACACAGAATGATATTGCCATCATTAGTCATGAAGAAAATGCAAAATAAACCAGAAGGAAATACCTCTGCACACCTACTGGTACTGCTGAAACTAAAAGGACTGACAATATCAAGTGTTGTCGAGCAGATGGTACTGTTAGATCTCCTGTTCCTCCCCGGTGAGAATGCAAATACAGCACAGCTCTTTTGGAAAGTAGTTTGGCAGGGTGGTGGATTGACAACTGGTGGTCAACTTGTGACATCCAGTTGAACTGAACCAACATGGTGCTGGGTGTGGGAGGCCCACCGAGGAGTGCTGCTGGCAGCATAAGAGATAGAACTGGAGAGGAAGAAGTTTGGAAGCTGTAGGGAGCTGTTGGTTTTCCTGGAGGAGCTTGTCATGCTGGCTTATCTGATGAACTCGGCTGGTCTCATTGTTGGAGGAGCTCAGGGCCTTGTTGTCACTGAGAATGGCTATGGCTCACTTTGGGGGAGCTCTGGTCCTGATGGTGCACTTGTTCAATCTCCTGGAAAAGCTTGTCGTGCTGACTTTCCTGATATAGACTTGGCTGTTCACATCATTGGAGGAGCTTGGGACCTTGCTGTCACTGATGATGGCTGTGGTACCTTTTGGGGGAGCTCTGGTTCTTACTTTGAGTGTTGCTTCCTGGCTCCAGTGCAGATCCTTCAACCTGATTGTACAGATCCTTCATCCTGCTGGCACAGACTTTCTAGCTTCCACCACTGGCCTTTGGGCCTTCCCAATGGAGATCCATGAAACGGGCCTGTGTGAGATACCGTCATGGGCTCTTGGCCTCCTGTTGGACTCCTGGGAGATATTGTTATGGGCTCTAGGACTTCAGCTAGCCTCATGCAGAACATTACTGTGGGATCCAGGCCCTCAGCTGGAGTCTTGGGTCTTTAGTGTGTGGACTGATTTCCTGCACTCTCTTTGTATATGACTCTTTGGGTGACTATTATAAAATAATTCTATAAATTATATGTCCTGTATTGTTCCCCTTGCAAACTCTGACTACAACAGGCAAGTTCTCATAACATTAAACATACACATGGCATAGGGTTCAGAAATTCCACTCCTGGGTATTTTCCTAAGGATGGGAAACATATGTTTCATAAAAATCTGTATATAAATGTTCACAGCAGGTTTATTTATAGCAGTCCAAAACTGGAAAGAAGCCAACCTGCTCAGCAATAGAGATAGGCTACTGATACATGCAATACCACAAACAAATCTCAAAAGCACTTTTTTTAAATTAAAGAGATCAGACACAAAAGGCAGCATGGTGTGTAGCTCCATTTATAGAACTTTCTGGAAAAGGCAACATTGTAGAGAAAAAAACACATCAGTTGTACCCAGAGAAGTGGGATGGAGCAAGAGGTTTGAGGGTAATTTGGGAGGATTGAAATGTTCTTCAAAGAAGGATGAGGAAAATTTGGGATGGAAATGTTCTTTCTTCTTCAATGTGGTAGTGGTTACACAGTTGTAAACCTTGTCAAAATTCACCACGCTGTGTGTATTGAAATAAATATGACAAAAATACATACTGTGTAAAGACTTAGTCTCTGAAAAAAAAAAAACAGCAGTTTTAACTATTTCATTAAAAACTCTTTACAACTTGTTAGAATACTATATTTTGGGGATGATCTGGTATGATGAATTGGTTCAGAACATGGCTGTAAAAATCAGACCAACCGCAAGTCCTGCCACTCACATTTATTATCAGAATGGTCTTATGCCAGTTACTTTATTCATACCTCATAGAATTATGTTGGGAATTTAATGACTCACATGAGGGACTTCATAACTGTCTGGTCCATGGCAACTATTCATCAAATTTTGGTTATCTGAAAACACTTAGAAACAGCTTCAATGAGAAGACATACACATGAATGAATGAATTAGTGAAGGATTAGTTTACACAAAAATAACAGAAACAGAACAGGTATAATGTAAGGAATAGCATAAAACAAAAAATGTTTCACTATGTCTGGAGAAGCCATGAAGACTTTCTGGGGTTAACTACAACTAAGATAAATTTGAAAAATGAGCAAAGGACATAACATGTTCTGGTGTACCTGGAGAATGACTCATAGTTTGCTACTTTGGGGGTGATGAGAAGTGCTATCAGAAGAGTGAATCAGAACAAGAAGGGTCTTGAATGCCAGTTTAAAAATCTTGTTGCATCTCATCATATGGTGGACGATTGAGAGTCAGATAGGAGAGACAAATTAGATTTGTACCATACCCAGATTGCTTTGCTCATCCTGGAGAAGAGAGACTGATGCTAGATTGAGGATAGAGGATGAGAGATCTATCAGAAGACTTGTGAGATGAATCCACATAAAGGATGGTGACATGCTATGCTGGGACTATGGGAATAGGAAGGTAATAATAAATTCTAGACTTTTTGAATCCAATAATTATGTATGAAAGACAATGAATATCACTTCATAGCTGGGTAGCTAGGCAGGTGGTGGTACCCCTGTTAAACAGGAAAACACGTTTATGCTAGGGAAATGATGCATTTAGTTGTTGATATCTGAAGTACCTGTTCACATCTAGGTGAAGTTGTCCTGCAGGTAGAAAGATACATGAGCCTAGAATTTAATATCAAATGGGATGGGGAGGCGTGTACATGGCAATTGAAGGCACAGATATAAACAAGATCACTCCAGAAAAGCACATAGTGTTGGAAGAGAGCCAGAACGAGATCTCTGGGACATATCCACATTTAAGGCTGTAGAGAAAAGACTTTAAATAATGTCAGGAAAATAAGAGGAGGACCAAGAGGAGGACTGTGGAAGCAAAAGAGTTTCAAGAATGAATTATCATCAAGAATGTTATATGTAGCAGTAATAGCAAGGAAAACAAAGACCAAGAAATACTCAGTGGATTTGGGTAGTTTTAGTGCTAGGAAATTAAAACCAGATCAGTATAGTTGGAAAGTGAATAGTAAGTTAAAGATGTAAATGTACCTAATACAGGTTGTTTGTAAAGACCTAAAGGGGAAAGAGAATAGAATGGTGCTAAGTGCTACAAGATTGCCATGGTTAGGTGAAGAGTCCCTGAAAGGTTCATGTATTCAAGGCTTGATCCTTAGAGTGTTAGTATTGGGAGGTGCTGTGGACCTTCAGGAGATAGGGTTGAGTGAGAGGTTCTAATGTTACTGGGGGTATTCCCTCTAAAAGGATTGTGTGATCCCAACCCCTTCTTGTCTGGCTCTTCCGCTTCCTAGCTCATGAGGTGAGGGTTTTACTTTGCCACATGCCCCTTCTTCAATGTACCACCTTAGGCAAAGAATGGGGCCACTTAGACTTGGACTGGAACTTCCAGAACCATAAGCCAAAGTAAATCTCTTTATATGTTCATTGCCTTAGGTACTTTGTTATAGTAACAGAAAGCTAACACAAGAATTAAAGAAAATTTTTGCTTTTATAAGACATGAAAGGACCAACTTGAAGCAATGACTTGACTCTATATATTGATGGCGAAAAAAGATGGAAGAGAGAAAAATGCCAAACATACAAGAGGGTCATGGTCAAACCAGGAGGTGGAAATCACACCAGAGATTTGACCACAGTACATTTAATATAAAGAACTGTTAAATATGTATAAAACTGTTTGTCAGGTAATTTAAAAAGTGGGACAAGAACAACAACAGCAACAGAAAACACGATAGCAGCCATTGTCAGAAGCATCCAGCACACTTCAGGCTGATGAGGGGAGAAGTTTGCAAAAGATAAGGAGAGAAGGAAAGGCTTTTCCTAAAGGTAACCAAATAATATTTTATAAAATTGGCATTTGAGCTGGGTTTAAATAGAAATGAAAGACTATTTTGAGAACTGCGTATAACCTAGCAAATAGCATATGCTTAATAAATAGTTGCTGAAAAATAAAATTTGGGAATAGAGTGAGCAAAAATCCAGAGGAAAAAGGTATGGAAAACTGGGGCAAATGAGAAGTGTGGCTGGAGCTTGAGTGCAGAGTGGGAATAAGGCTGCAGATAGACCAGGAAGGGGCAAGCAGCCGGGAACTCCAGGGGAACGTGTTGAAAACTTATCTTTGGAAGCCACTGATGTTCGGGTAGGGAAAGGGCAAGGCTAGAACGACTTCTGGCAGGCTGACCTGTGTGTGGTGTGCAGGAAGAACTAGGAGTAAGAAACCGAAGTCATCAGCTCTAAAGCTAAGCATGATGGTTTGGTTTGGGGTAAGGACGTGAGGGGGAGCAGAACATAGGCGGCTGATGGATGACTTAATTGCTGGTTGCCGTTGGCGGGTGGGGATAGAGAGGGAAGAAAAGAGTCTCGTTTCCTTTATCTGGACTGCTGGGAAGAATGGCAGAGGAGCAAGAAAGAAGGAAGACACTTGGTAGGGCCATGATTAGTTCTGAGGATGCAGCATATATCCTGCCGCAGAGCACCGGACTCAGGGAACAGAGGACGCGCCCGGGTCCTCCCGGACGCACTGCTGTCCAGGGCGGGACAAAGGGCACTCGGAAGAGGCGCGCTCCCGCCCAAGCGCGCAAGCGCAGTGAGGCGTCGCCTAGCAACCAGACACAACCGTGGACTGGGAGGTTTGCGCCCGCGGCGACCTTGGCGATTGCGGGGACCTCCCGACAGGTACTGGGAGGCCCGCGGCTGCACACCTGAACCCTCGGGTCACAGAAAATTGGTGCAGGGGCTTGAACAAAACTTGGGAAAGGAGAAGGTGCTGTGGGTGCGGACTCCTGAGGGAACAGCTGAGGGGACACCTTCTAAGGGCTTGTCCCTGCCCGGCACCCACAGTATTAAGTGGGATCCGGGCGAATTTCATAAGCACCTCGACCCCCATTTACTTAACCAGGGACAAAACTGAGGTTAGAGGGCATCCAGGGGGTTTAAGTTTCCTTTACCTGACTGTGAGCCGCTCAAGAAGTGGGCCCGGTTTACTTTGTCCCCTCTTTTTCTCCTTTAAATCCGTTCAAAACATTGTCTGGCTTAGAAAATATTTAACATCATAGGCTGAAGCTGTGCGCAGGAGAAATACCAGTGACCAATAAACTCGTGTGTGTGGGAAGGGTGGCTCTAGAAGATACAAATGTACTGGCTTTTTAATAACTTATTTTCCTATCTAATACTATGAACTTGGTACTTTCTTACCTAGTCCTTTTACTATTGGAGATTTATCCTAAAGAAGCAGTTGGGGATGTGGGTGAAAGTTTTATTTCTAAGAATGTTCATTGTAGCCTAATCCATAATTCCAGAAAAACTGGAAATAAGAGACTGACTAGATAAATAAGGACTTTCAAAGTATTACTTAAATGGCATATTTTGCTGATTCGTTGGAGAATACTGGAGAATAAATGGAGACTGACTTAGTTGCTAAGAACTTAGTAGGAAGATGGTCCCAGGAAGGGAAAGTGGGACTGGGGAATAGAAATCCAGGTAGAATGATAAAATCACTATAGAAAACACAAACACAGAGAAACTACATTGCAATAGTATTAATCTCCCTGAGCTTACCTTGAGTATTTAGAAAATCTTTTCATTGTACCATTCCTTTTCTTCAAAATTCTCTTCAGGAATTATATTACCTTGATATGGAAAAAGATTAGGGTCATCTCAGTGGCTCATTGCCCTATCTATATGGGCTGTTTACTCTCTTCCTGGCTATCATACCCAAGGTGGTGATAAAACAGCCGCAGTATTGCCTAGGACCAGCTCTGTTATTGCAACACTGGATCTTTAGTTTAGTCTCTGAGCTCTTCACTGTGGAATTGCTCAAAACTATCATGAAATAGGAAAAATTATTTCCTGAGTGAAAATCAGTTTATATAAAACAGCTTTAGGCAGGTATAATTTAATTCATAAGGAATTCTTTTTTAAATCCGAAGCTGTTCTGTCTCATTGTTTTCCTAGAGGTTAGCTATAAGATGGCTTTTCATTTGTCCAGAATACTTTCTCTGTCTGCCTAAATCATTATAGTCATAAGGCCTAGAACCTGTGCAATTTTCATGCATCTATTAAAGACACTTGAGATTTCAAAAAATGGCTCTAATATATGAAAAGAAACTTAAAAGTTAATGTTAAATGTTTTTATTAATATTAAGGTTTCAGGGGTGGGGATTTAGCTCAGCGGCACAGCGCCTGCCTGGCAAGAGCAAGGTCATGAGTTCGATCCCTGGTACTGGAAAAAACAAAAACAAACAAAAAAAATTAAGGTTTTGTTACATTTGAAAATAATTTTCTGTTTGAAAAGAATTTCCAAGTTGCTAATTGCTGAGTAGTTTCAAATGCAAGTTTTTATGATAAAAATTACATTTAATAGAAGATGTGGATACATTTTTACATATTCATATAGCATAAAATAGTGCATCACAATTAGCTTACATATATATATATATATAATTTTTCCCTTTCTTCTTTCTTTTCTCTTTTCCTTAGCTTGTACCTTCTGCATTTTATTTACTCTTTCAGTTTTTTTCACTAGAGAGACAATATGATGTTTACACATGTGGGTCTGATTTATTTCTCTTATGAGTATAGTCTCCAATTGCATCCATTACTGTAAAGACTAGACAATGCTTCATTTTTTATAACCAATTTTACATTCTTATATCTGGTAATCTGAACAACTATACTGAAGATAACAGTATGCAATATAACAACCATTGTTGATTTCCCATCATCTTCTTTTGAAATTCTGTATCATTTTTAGAGTTTTTTCTCATTTTTTATGCTCTTTAAAACTTACTGTATTGTGTTTTTTATTTTATTTTTTTATTTTAAAAATAAAAGGAGGAAAACATTAACAGACAGACAACCATTTACAAAACAGCAGAAGAACAATACAAACAATACAGAGTTACAAACAAAGTGGTAGGAAATAAACAATGCTTGTTGTATTACATATTGATATCTTCAAAGTGGTTTCTCATGAAAACAAATAGAGACATGCAATATTGATCAATCAAGGACTCATTAACAGTTTCTTTCAGCAAAGAAATAGAAGACAGTAGATCAACTATGTTAACTATCTGTATATACATACATACAAAATTTCTCCTTCTTTCCCTTCTCTTTTCCCACATCCCAGTTGCCCTCTATGCTTGAGCTTTTTCCTTTCATTTCACAATGTCTATCATACTGTATTATGTTTTTTAAAAAAATAGTGCATCACTGAGTAAGCTTGCCTAGTTTCTCAAGATCCTTTACTTATGTGACCTTACGTTAGGGACCTGGAATAGAGGTCTTTCAGAGGGCCCCATGAGTTTCTACGCACATGAGGCTTTTTAATATTTGTAATAATTACATGAGGCTTTTTAATATTTGTAATAATTCTTCTCAGTATCTCTAATGCTAGGAGGTTACTTCGATCTTTGATACGGAATTTCAACTAACTTTGACATTATAGGATCTCTCCAAGGATTTTCTGCTTCCCAAGATTTATCTCTTGAGACTATAGTAATTTCATGGAGGCTAGATTATACCATCTGAGATTGCTCTAATGGCAGACATAATCCCATAACTCTCACTGGAGAAAACCAGCAAGAGCTGTTCTAACAGGCACCGATCTTGGGACGTTGTCCATACCCAATCAAGTTATTCCTCTTGGGTATGTCAGTATGTATATATACTGTTCCTTTTTTCCACAGGCAATGGGCAGATGAAGGTAGGTGGGAAAAGATCTTACAAAGAGCAAAGAGTAACCCTGATTTTCTCAGAATACATTTCTTCACAATTGCTTTGTTTTTTGTTTTTGTTTTTGTTTTTGTTTTTTGGGTTTTTTTTCTGGTACTGGAAACCAAACTCATGACCTTGCGCTTGCCAGGCAGATGCTGTGCCGCTGAGCTAAATCCCCAGCCCTTCAATTGCTTTGTTATTGAGCTATGGATTCTATTAGAGGAAAGCCCTGCTTTGTGATGCAAATATTCTTGCAGATCCCCAAAGCATCTTGGATTTAGAATCTCAAGCCCAATGTAAATGAATGATAAGCATCATAAGTAAAATTGGGGTGTTGGTGACAGGTTTATACATGTACAATAATTTTATATGCATTGAATTTTCTTTTATTAAGGAAAATGTAAAGGAGAAAATAAACCTCTCAAGAATTTAAGTAGATAAGCAAATTGTGTGCATTTATAAAGGCAGAAATGCCACTTTAACCATTTTGCATCTTTTTCCAGGATGGGTAAAAAGATAAAGAAGGAAGTAGAACCTCCTCCTAAGGATGTGGTAAGTTTCTGATTTAAATACTAGTAGCATTTTAACTACCAATTTTAAAAATAAATTGTTCAGACTGTTTGGCATGTACCAGCATATACATGAATACATGGTGGCGTAAGTCCAAAGTCTGACTAACGATAAGATTACTCGGAGAAATCTACAATTATGTAAACAAACATTTACAACATTGTCATTATATAATTAGCACAATTAGAGAGTAATTATTAGCTTTTCTGGTATGTGGATGGCATGTTTATAGCCCAGCTAATGAATAAATAATTTTGGTTTGTTCTTTCAAATACTTCAAGTTTACATTTGCCAGTTTCTCAGTAATGTGAATTATCCAACTGAATTTTCAGAAATAAGGAAAAGTTAAACTATAGCCCTTAGTTTTGTATATGAGATTATTTGATAATGACTTAGATGTGAGAGCCACTGTATTTTCTAGTTCTATCAAAAAAGTAGTACGGGATCACCCGGTTTTTCTATTCCATACTCTAAGTAATGGATCCCCTACTACAGAAAACCCTTCTCTCTTTAAAAAGCATAGTTTTATGTGTTCTCTTTAATCAAAAAGAAAGATTAGCAGGAAATAGCCTTTGACAATTTTCAGTTTAGAAACTTATTTCAAAACAAACTTCAATGTGACTTCCTTCAGATAAAATATGAATAGAAAAGAAACGAGATAGTATGCAGACTCACAGGATTGTGACATTTATAGCAATTTGGACTTGGCAGAGATATTTCTTCTCCAAAATGGAGCATTGTGGTTAAGAGCTTTGTCCCAGCTCAGCCTCTCATGAAATGTTATTTTAGCCATCTTGCCAAATTTGGCTAAGTTCATTCAGTCTTTCTTTATTTCTTAGATGGGAATCATACTCTCCATGTCATTTGGATTAGTGTCTGAATTAAGCCAAAATAAATTACATGAAGTTCTTAGTGCCTACCACATAGGTAGCATTTAGTAAATAAAATCTGTTGTCATAGGAATCTCCTGGACTCTGCTATCTTCTCCCTCCCTCTCTCTCTCTCTCTCTCTCTCTCTCTCTCTCTCTCTCTCTCTCTCTCTCTCTCTCTCTCTCTCTCCACCCCACTCATTCCCTGCACAACTACGTAGGTATGATATTTGTATACATTTAGAATGAAAGCTCTTGAAAGGCCTGTTTGGCCAAGTTCCCACGACCTCACAGAGGTAGTTGTTGTGATTTTATGATGTAATGTCATCGTTGTGGTGATTTCTTTTGGACATAATTTGAAAATGTGGCAGATCTTTGTATTTATTTAATGCATCCTAGGCTTACATCACCCTGCTTTTTTCCTACCAAATAGCATTATCAGTATCTTGTTAGCAAAAAGTGGCCTCCTGAGCACAATACTTGGCAAAAACCACATTCAGACTAAAATGAGAATCAAGAGGCTAATAACATAAATTTATCTAATACATTTTCTATAATTTTATGGCATCTTGCTGGTATTTTTCTCTGTATATTTCAATCTTTGGGGAAACAACTGAGGGCTTAAGAAAGGCAATCTTAGGATTAACAAAGCAGATCTTACTTCCTCAGGTCATACAGTGTGGTGGGAGCCAAAGAACACATATAACAATTGTCAGTGATCCCTAGCTATTTATTGCCACTCCTAAGGGCCCCCCATCCTTTCCTTACTCTGACTTTCTATTAATAAAACTGATAGAATTGTACTAAAACATTAAGACATCCCTTTTTCTACCTCTAAATTCTAATACATTGAAACCGTACACTGGAATTTGCAGTATCCTAACTTGGAACTTTTACTTCAGGTCTACTTCTTTAGTCTATAAAAAGGAGCAGAAGGTTTGCCCTACAAATAAAAAGTGCAAAGTATTTGTTCTACAAATTGTAAATGAAAATTGAATTTAAATGAGGGATATATAACTGCTGAAGACAATAAACTTCTATCAATGAATGGTAATTTGCCTACCATCTATTTCAGAGACATTGTTTCCAATGATTTTAATTTTTATCAGCTTTTGTCTACTGATTAGATTAGGTAATAGGGAAAGCAGGAGTGTTCAGTGATATGAATGAACCAAGATGCTCCCTTTGCCTTTCTCAATATTCTCATAAGTCATAACATACATTGGTATATCCATGTATAGTTTCCTCTTCTTATGAAAGAGATGCTCGCTCAGGAGGTACCAAGTATACAAAAGATGGGGCTTTAATGACCAGTACAACTGCCTGTTGCCTTCCTGAAGCATCTCCATGTCCAGTTTACAGATTGTTTGTGATGCTTCAATAAGAGGTAAGTTTCCTAGGAAATTATTGCATAAAAGAATTCCTTACAGAAATTACTCTAGTAGGCATTGCTATTTAGTCTAAGGCAAGATACTCCGTGATTAAGAATATAGGCTCAGGAATTATAATGCTTGAGTTTGAATCTTTGTTCCACTACCCACTTGTGTGGGTCTATGGTCTTGGAAAACTTTCCTAACTTCTGTGTGGCACAGCGAAGATGGAGTGATAACCTATTTCACAGTGGTGAAGTCAGGTTAAGTAGGAATAAGATGCTTAGAATAGTGTGTAGCACTGGGTGAGAACTTAGCAAATGTTGCTGAAATTAAGGATGTAGTTGAGGGTGCTGTTCAGCACTCTGCAGAACTGAGCGAGTTTGTATGAACTGTACGAGGAGGCAGGGATACCAGCTGTGGGAGACCAGATAGCCAGTTGCTAAAGGTCCAGAGGCCTACTGTGTGGCCACCATGATTCAGGGTCAGGCCTTTGAATTTTGCAGGCATGGAAATTGTATTCATATTTCCAAGGTGATTGAGCTTCAGTGAATAAATTCACAATTCCTAAGTGCTCAAGAGGCTGAAGCCTGGCCGTGAAATCTCAGTGATTAAGTATCAAGTTAACAGAATATTTGTGTTAATGGATCAGCACTTTGTCTCCCAAGACAAATGCAAGTAGGAGTGAGGTATAGCAACTACTGAATGACAGCAACAGAAAATAGTAGAGCGTGCTCCCTCACCTGAGCCCAAATCCATTTCCTTGCAAGAGTCAGATGTCTCCTGGGGCACGTTTCTCCCAGACCTCCTCCATCAATCTCAGAACTTAACCTTTAATCATTTGTCATAGGCTGACAACACTGTCATTTTTTTTTAACAAGTGAGGTATCAGGGGGATTTATTTTCCTTTCAGTCTCCCTCACCACAGATGAACAAAAATACTATGAATTAAAAACTATCAAATTATAAATAATATACACATATAAAACTATATGAATCATCGTCAGTTTGGTCACTTTGTTCTAAGTTTGCAACTCTTATTGAGGTTGTAAACTAAGGCCTATTTTAGCTTAGACATTTTAGTAGATTTTTAGTGATGTCTAAGTAATCTATTTCCTGCTGTTTAACTCCTGTGCATGATTTAAGACCACTTATATGGTAAACACATTCCAACAGATAGCAAAAGAGCCTTTATTTATATATGTTGCCACCATAAACTCAATTCTCTTGGTCTGTTTCCACCAAGTTGAATTTTGTTATCTTCTGTTCTTGTACACTTGAAGGTTGAATATATTAGGCATGAGTCACATGTAATTATTTAAATTTATAATAATAAAAATTAATTAAAAATAGACAGCAATATACCTATTTTGTTAGTTTTTTATCTTTAAAATAATAAAAAGACTAGATTAAAAATTCAACTTTTCAGTTGTATTTGTTACATTTTAAGAGCTCAAGAGCCACTTGTGGCCTGTGAATGCTATTTTAGTTGGTCAACTCAGAATCAGAACATTTCTATCACTGAAGTTCTGTTAGATAGCACTATTCTACACAGTCTTATTTCCTTAACCAAAAATAAATAAAAATATCTCTACAAGTCTCTGGCCTCTCAAACCAATGTAGCTTAAAATGAGAAGCTTAGCCAAAATGCTTCTCCTTTCTTACATTCTTTCAGTAAATGATTTTGGTTCATCATTTATTTTGTACAGAGCGTGAAATTGTAATTTCACAACAAGCTTGTTGGTGGCAGTGACTTCCTCATGGGAAAGCAGATGGGATATGTAATTACAGCACAGTATTATTTATTTAGTCATGTGGCATTCTGTTATAGCTATCATTTTATTCTCAGCGTCTTTTTAAATAAAAAATTACTATAATGCTATAGGCATTGTAGGAGAAACAAATGTCATGCCAAGAATCTTCACTCTGTGCCAAACATTGGTATTTTTTCTCTTTTGACAGCACTTTAGATTTTAACTCTCATAATCTTGAATTTCTCTGTAAGCTTCTTATACCCATACTGCTTTTTTTCCTCAATGATAACTGGGAGATATCATGAAATACTGGAGTACCTTCTAAATCATTAAGAGAGATTAACTGATGTTTATTGTAGTTTTTGTTTAAGTGTATTTTCGTGTACTCTACTCCTTTGAGAATTGTAGTCCTGCTGTGGCGAGCTCAACAGAGCCATGTTTAATTCTGGAAGATTTAGTCACAAGAGTATAAAATCAGTCTTTAAAATGCTGAAATATTATTTCTGGCCAAGCTCAGTGGTACATGCCTCTAGTACCAGCTTCTCAGGAGGCTGAAGTACAAGGATCACTTGAGTCTGGGAGTTTGAGGCCATCTCAGGCAGCATACCAAGAGCCCACCTCAAAAATTAAAAAGGAAAAATGGGGAAAAAATAGAAACATTGGAAATTGAAAGTTCTAAAATAGAAGGGAAATCTGTGTTGGTAGGGAAGGTAAGTGGCTGGAATGTTAGGCAAACTGCTTTGAATGGTAAAGAAAATCTAAAGTTGTGACTTTTAGCATTGGTGAGCCTTTAGGGGCTCGCTACTCACCCCACCCCCCAGCAAATGTATTGCTTTGTGTAAAATTTCATTCTTTTCAAAGCTCATTGATGGCTTCAGACCTCAGATTGAGGTTTCTGAGTCAGTATACAGTGAAGACATTTTAAGTCTACAGCATAAAAAACATTTCCAAAAGCTCTTCACTGTATTGCTTTACAGATGGTGAATACT